GTCAAAGTCACTAATGACATTCTGAACATCTGTGATCAGGGCTCCCTCTGCCTCCTTGTCCTCCTCGACCTCACGGCCGCCTTCGACACTGTCGACCACTCCATCCTCATACACCGCCTCTCTGCTTTATTCAATCTTTACGGATCTGCCCTTACCTGGTTCGATTCTCACCATCTCCACTTTGTTGCCTCGAACGGTTTCTCCTCCAGCCCCCGCACTGTCACGTCTGGCGGTCCCCACGGCTCTGTCCTTGGCCCTCTCCTCTTTAATATCTACATGCTCCTCCTTGGTGATATCATCCGCAGACATGGGGCCAACTTCCACATGTATGCAGATGACACCCAACTCTATCTTTCTGCCTCCACCCTCAACTCCAGGACCACTGCTGTCCTGACAGACTGCCTGTCAGACATCAAGTCCTGGGATGAGGGAAAATTTCCTACAGTTGAATGTGAACGAGGCACTCCTGATTGGCTCACGCCATCGCCTCAGGCTGCAGGTAATCCAGAACTCTACAGCTCGTGTCCTCTCCCGCACCAGACTCCGTGACCCCATCGCCCCTGACTCCATTGTCGCCCTATCCTTCAGAGGATCCAGTTCAAGATCCTGGTCCTCCCATACAAAGCCCTCCATGGCCTCGCTGCACCCTACCTCTGCAACTTCTTAAGCCCCTACCAACCTGCCCGTTCCTTCCGCTCAGCCGGCTCTGGCCTGCTCCACGTCCCCCGACCCACCCGCCCCACCATTGGCAGGAGAGCCTTCAATTACTCTGCCCCCAAACACTGGAATTCCATCCCCAGTCACTCCCTCACCCCCTCCTTAGCCTCCTTCAAGTCCCACCTCAAGACCCTCCTCTTCGACCATGGCATCGGCCGCCCCCCTTCCCCTTCCCTCCCCGACCCCAGCTCGGATCTGAAATGCTGTACTCTGTCCAGCGCCTTTGGACGTCCTGCCAACGTGAAAGGCGCTATACAAATGTAATCTTGTTGTTAATAAAAAGGAAAATTGCTCATTCACTGTTTACTGAACACTGCTCAGCCTATTGGCAGCTGTGTTTGCTTACATTTTACAGAAATTTCACAAACCAATTTGAGATGTTCAATGATATCACTGTATCAAATACAAATATTAACAATTCTCTGGGCAATTCTTAAGACATTTGACTTTTCAGGTGCCACACTATTCAAATATGAAGATTTTACTGTTTGACAGCTCCACAATCAAATATTATAGTGAATAGGAACAAACAAAACTAGACTCACACTATTTTATAATTCTTCACGACTGTACTATGAGACAAATTCCTATTCTATTTCATATATTAACAAGAGACTTTCAACTCAGTCCAGGATGCAAAGGCTTTGATAAATTATGGTAAATATGTATAAAGAGGCTTCAAACGCATTAATCTCCCCGGCTTTTCCTCAAACTTACTGAACCGAGGCATCTAGTTTGATCCTCAGTTGTCTTCCTACTCGATATGGTCGCTGACCAGAACTGATTTCCTCTGCCTCGGCTACATCACCTGCTTCCAACCATACCTTCCAACTCAATGTTGTTGAAACCCTCACCAAGCTTTCATCATCTCCCACCTCGATTTCTCCAATTTGAGACATTCAAGGCAGAGAATTCAACATCTGCTCAACCACTGCATGAATAAATAAATAATCTTGGCTCCTTGTTGGTCTTCCCAGTAACACCATTAACAAAGTCCAACTAATTCAAAACCCCGCCACTCATATCCTTACGCGCACCAAACTCCACACCCCCATCATCCCACTACTTGCCTGGATCCATTTATCCCCTGCTGCAGAATGGATCAATTTCAAGATACTCAGACTCACCTAAAAATTTAACTCATATAAAAAAAATCAATACCCTGGCACCTCCCTATCTCTCTGATGTGCTCACATCCCAACCCTCTTCTTGCCCCCTTCAGTCAACCAACTTGGGGCTTCTCCACATCCCTCGATCACACTTGATGACTTTCCTATTCAACACACCTAGTTACCTTCTGTTTTTCCCCAAACTACGCCATTATTAAAAGTTCCTAAACGCTACCCCAATGCACTATGTTGCATGTCACTGTAATCCACAAAGAGAATGAGATTCTCCCTGTATACTGGCCAACAGCTTCCAGATAAAAATGGTGATTAATTTCATTGCTATTCTCAGGACACTGCTATGCTAAAATTGGCTGCCATGTTCACCTACAAATGCACAACCACAGTATTGTGGTTCAATCCACAATACATTTTGAGACATCCTCCAGGATTAATTTCTTTAGTATTATTTATTTCTTCATACTTGTGAAGATGTGGAATACTCTGCTTCAAAAATCTGTAGACGCAGAATCAATAGGGATGTTTAAAAGAGATAGGGACACATTGCTTGGGTCATAGATGTATTAAGGTGGAGCAAAGGATGGGAAATTAGTATTAAAAGATCTACCAAGATCAGATCTACCAAGATCAGATAGGTGGGCTGAATGGTCTCCTTCTATTCTTGTTCTCCTACATAGGATGCTTGTAGATCAACGTTTTAAGGAGGCACTTTACATATAGTTTAACAACCACATGCGTGACAAAACAAATTAATCAGAACTTTAAACTGCTGCCAGACATTTCAAAATTTGACAACCCAGAGAATAGTAACAGTTTAATTTATATCACCTCCATAGTTAATAAACTCAGTTCTTGTGATCTGTACTATTTTTAGTTTCAAAAAGTGCATCAAAACTGTTTTACGACCTAAATAGTTAACCCATCACAGCCATTTGCATACAGTACACATCTAACCTTTGTACTTAAGTTCTTTTCACTAACTATCATCATATAACCTAAGCAAATTTATCTGATGGCTTATGTTCCAAAAGAGATATTTAAATATAATGTACCTTTGGCACTACTGATTTATTATAACCATTTACTCACTATGAAACAAAGTATTCAACTGCCATAAAATCTGTTGGTGTAAATGGAATAAAAACACTTAAAACAGTGGCAATTTGTTTAAGCTTACCAAGTCTTGATGGTGTCTAGTTTCTATAGTCCACTTAAACTATGAGTCCATTTATATCAGTAGTCAGCTCACCCTTCACAGCTACAAGAAACAAATATCGATATCTACCCACAATTTAAAAAAAAATCTCTATATTACCCAACCAATCAAACCAGTGGGAAGGTTTTCTATTCCTAATCTTAAAATCGGAGTATGTCTCTGGACTGTGTTAAGTCATCTGATCGGAAGTACATGGCACTAGAAGTGTGCCAGATTGCCTTAGCAGCTTGGGTAGTGGCTGGGGCAGGGGAAATAGAAACTAAGAAACCTTTGGGAGAAATTACAGGCAAAACTGGGCAAATTGACTCAACTAAAATTCTTAATCCTACGAGCGAGGTTGTGGAATTGAGTGGCATGGAATATTAGGCAATTGAATCAAGCAATCTTCAATATGAGATTTTAGAACAAAGTGTGCATTGCATGATTAGGAAAAACAAGTTTCAGCATCTTCCTTTTATCTCCACCTGCAGAGTAAGGCCAATTATATTTCAACCAAAACCAACAGAATACCAGAATATGAAGTTTCTAGATTCATTTGATAGATTTATTATTTAAAGTTTGAGACTGAAGCCGTTTCAAAGTGACCAACAAGATCAATAATGCGCTCTCTTAAAAGTAATCTTGAAGGCTTACTTTTGCTAAACATGCAATATGTACACTTTTGTGCAAAAGATTTAAATAAGCAAACAGTGTATGCAGTCTAAAGGAACTCTGGTTGATTTTCCCCCTTCCTTTCCCAAGGTGTAAAGCCAATTGTAACATCCCTGAGGTTTCCAGTTTGTGGTAAAATCCTTACCAGTTAATTCAAGCAATGGTCACAACAGAATCATTGTGCTCATTTCCAGAAGCCAATTCTTGCTTCAGGGCGTTTATCAAATGTTTATTCAGTATATAAGATATCAACAGCATCATCAAGAATTCCTGAAATTAAACCTCCACCCCTTACCCAAAGGCAACTAATTACAATGCATCAATTACACTTATTTCAAAGTTAAAAGATTTTGAGTAGACGTTAAAATCTACTGGATTCCCCAAAATAACCTGTGGGGATGAATCTCAATATTTCTATTTCACAAAGTCAATAAATTATTATTTTACCGCACAATAATATCATACTGTAATGGACTAGATACTATTTTGAATAAATAATACTTGCATTTGATATAGCATCTTATCTCGTCTTCAAAATGTCTCAAAGCGCTTCACAAAATTTACAGTCAAGTGTAGAGACTGTATATTTTGTGGGTAAAGGCGGCAGCCAATTGCGCACAGCAGAATCCTACAAACAGTCATTGATTTATGACTATTTTGAAGGGATTATTTCCCTCAGAAAAGCGAATCACCAATCGACTAACAACCAGGTTCCTACTTACTGCTAGGTAAACAGAATAAACATTGAAGTTGGAATTATGAACACCTACATCCAATTTTACCTATTAAAAATGTAGAGGAGCGTTGACTTGTAAATCCTTAAAATAGTTGTAAAGGACACCAGGATTGGGCAACAACATCATACTGCAGACTTCCACCTGAGCTAAAGCAACTGACCTCATCTGCTGCATGACAACGCACCGAAAACAGACTGCACATTATTCATGTTGTTCAACTAAATGTTTTGACACTGAACTGTGACCGCTATTACATAACCGTCCGCTACCTTCGGAAGTAAAAACTGCTGAAAACCTCATAACTACTGAACGCAACACCCCCACTGACTTTGCATCTGCAGACAACTGGGAAAAACAGATTAACGGATAACGTCTGGACGTCTAAATAAATGCTCGACAGTGAACGAACAGGCAATTTAAAAAGCGAGATTATGCAACGATGCGCTGCCCTTGACAGCTGAGCACTTTAAGCCCAAAGCCAGTTTTCCACTTTAATGACATGGAACATCAGATAAAGTTGAGATCGATAACCCAAAAGCATTAGAAACCTACCCTAGTAATTGAATGGGCGCTGTTTATGAAGACACTGTATAATTTCATTTCCTCAGTCGGTTCAAAGACAAGAAACACAATCGTCTTTCCGTGTCCAGGATTACCCGGGATATCGTTTTCACTATGAAACCAAAACAATGGAGCATTCTCCATTAAATAGCCAGAACCCAGAGAGGCGGGGTGGGGTTGGGGGTGGGGTGGGGGTGGAAACGCAAGCTTCACTCCTACACCCATTAGCGTATTTTGCAATCAATCCCACTTGTTTCTACAAAGTGGCAAAGTCACGGAACTCAGGACAGGATGTAGTGATCGCGAGTCCTTTTTTTAAAAATATATATTTGATAAACTAAACAGGGTCAACACAACATTGACAACACATCAGGAGAGGCACGGACCTATTTATAATAAGAAATACACACACATATGCAGCATAGCCTACATAAACTACAAGATCCATGCAATTATAAATACGGCATACACACTAGAACTAGCAATACAGGATCAGTGGTACAGAGCTGCACAATTATTATTCTGCATATATTCCCAGATATGCGAGAACCCAGACAACGAGGTGAATAGGGAAAATACGATCAATATTCGGCAAACGATTAGCCCTTCAGTACTTTCATTCACTCCCAGACGAGCTCCTTAAATAAATAATCGTGGGGGGAGGGGAAACAGATTGCATTCCAGTTTTAAAACGGGATTCGGGACAGGTTGGATGGAGTTTTCTTTTAAAAGCAAACCCGCAGAAGGCAACCGTAACCCTCTATAGATCCGAGTTATAATAACTACAAACATAAAATCCGGGATACATTTAGAAACATTGCGGACCACTACGTGCGGCAAAATGGGGTTCTTAAACCGCATGTTAACCGCTCCACATTTAAAATGCTCGATAATAAATGATGGGATGGTAGCACATCCCACCGCCCCACACCACCTCCCTCCCTCAGGCGCCGAGCTCTGCGGCGCTCGTTACCCCTGGTTACCCCCGCAAACCCCAGGGGAAACCGGCGCCCAAGGAAGCCGCACTTTACCCCCAAACCAGGGAGCGATGTAAAGCAGGTAGACAGGAGAGAGAGAGAGGGAAGCACTGGGGTAATAGGTAAGCGGAGAGTATATATACACGTCTCTCTCTCTCTCTGCTCCGGGACCGGTGGGACCCCCATGCTCCCACCCACCGCTTGAAGCCGTCACCTTCCACCCCCCACCTGTGAGAGGGGGAGGGGTACGGGAAGAGTACTACCCATCCCCCGCCGTGGCTCCTCAGGTTCGTACATAAAACGGCGGCCCCCTCTCAGGGTCAGTGTGTATCACAAGGTCACCGCTTCTATTCCCTCCCCCAACACACACACATACACACACAGCACCGACCCAACCGACACCTGCTATTCCGTGGGGGGTTTTGGGAAGGAGGAGGGGGGGGGGAGGTCTCACCTTTTTATTTCCTAACTTCAATTTCAAACCGGGGCAGCGAAGAGGAAGGCGGTGGGGTTTGGGGGAGGTGTATGGAGGGAGGAGAAGGCGGACCTATAAGGGCTCCGTGTGGCCGGGCTCAGCGGCGAAGCCGGGCGGACGCTACTTTGCCTCCTGCCTCTTGGTGGTGCGCACCGCTCTGCCGCTCGCACTCCCTCCCCCGCGCGCAGGCGCACAGCTGCGTGCGCCCGCGAGCAGGCGCTTTGAAATTGAGAAAAATAACGAACGCATCGGCCGCGGCCGTCCGTTTGCGTCGACTTCCGGCGCCTGAACCGGCCGCGCGCGGCTCGAGCGGGAGGTGAGCAGACGGAGCGTGCGCGCGCAGCTCCTCTCTCTCTCCTCCACCTCACTCACCCGCGCTCACTCAAGCCCCGCCCCCCCCCCGCGCACTCAGCTGCTCCTCCAATCCCAGCCACTCAGCCCCTCCCCCCCACACACTCAGCCCCTCCTCCAATCCCAGCCACTCAGCCCTCCCCCCCCACACTCAGCCCCCCCCCCCCACCACTCAGCCCCTCCTCCAATCCAAGCCACTCAGCCCCTCCCCCCCCACACTCAGCCCTCCTCCAATCCCAGCCACTCAGCCCCTCCCCCCACACACTCAGCTCCTCCTCCAATCCCAGCCACTCAGCCCCTCCCCCCCACACACTCAGCCCCTCCCCCCCACACACTCAGCCCCTCCTCCAATCCCAGCCACTCAGCCCCTCCCCCCCACACACTCAGCCCTCCTCCAATCCCAGCCACTCAGCCCCTCCCCCCCCACACACTCAGCCCTCCTCCAATCCCAGCCACTCAGCCCTCCCCCCACCACTCAGCCCCCCCCTCCACCACACTCAGCCCTCCCCCCACCCTCCTCTCCCACACACTCAGCCCCTCCTCTCCCACACACTCAGCCCCTCCTCCTCCACACAAAGCCCCTCCTCTCCCACACACTCAGCCCCTCCTCTCCCACACACTCAGCCCCCCCTCCTCCACACAAAGCCCCTCCTCCTCCACACACTCATCCCTTCCTCCTTCCACACACTCAGCCCCTCCTCCTCACACTCAGCCTCACCTTCTCCCCCCCACATACTCAGCCCCTCCTCATCCCCTACACTCAGCCCCTCCTACCCCCAGACTCAGCCCCTCCCGCACCCACTCAGCCTCTTCCCGCATCCTCTTTCCTTCCCCCGCACTCAGCCTCACTCCACTCACTCAGTTCCTCCCCCATGTATTCAGCTGCTTCTCCTCACGCACAGCGCCTCCACCATCTCCCTTTTCTTTTCGCGGAGTCCCATAGCATAGTGGTTTGCAGGCTCGCAAGCAAGAATGGCTGGGTTCATTACCCGAACGGGTCGAAATCTTAGGCAGTTTTCCTTAAGCGCTCTGAGACGCTACCCTGCGTTGCGGGTGCTATATGAGTGCAAGTTGTTGTTACTTCGCACGCCCCTCTTTACCTATCAGTAAACCTGATTGTTAGTCCATTGGCAGATTGCTTTCCAGGGCTAATACTTCTTTCAAAAAATGTGGTCATTAAATCCATGACAGTTTGTGGGACATTTACAACCCTGGGGAACTCGGGGGTGCCTTGCAAAGAAAATCCTCAATCATGCCATAAAAATGCAGTAGCAAATATCTCTGAACCTGAGAGTCACATTGCTTTTATTTGAAGCACTTCTAAGTTCAAAATTAGGATTGGATGATCCAAACTATTAGAGCTCACCTTTCTGCCTCAGTAATTCATCAATTGATTAAGAGAGAGAGAATGCATGCTGTTGCATAAATATATCATAAGCGGCCAGTGATGAAACCAAGGAATTGCAGTAAGGTATCTCTGAAGTTAGACAAAACATGGCAAAGGTTCGAACCAAGGACAACTTTTGTTTTTGATTTTCTTTGGCTCACCTCAAGACATTTTAATCTGTGTGGTTTGAGAAGGGAATCTGCAATCCTCACATGTCTAATAGTATGAATAATAATAATAATAATCCTTGTATTTGATATAGCGCTTGTCACATCTTTTCGACGTCTCAAAGCGCTTCACAGAATAGACTGTAAAGTGAATTGACTGTATATTTGTGGGCGAAACGCGGCAGCCAATTGCGCACAGCAGTGTCCCACAAACAGTCGTGGATTGAAAATGATCAATTTATTATTTTTAAAAAAATTTTGGAGGGATTATTATTAGGCGTGTGGAGTAAAGAAACTTGCCCAAGGTTGCCCAAGAATCCCATGACACTATTTGAAAAGAGAAGGGAGTTTCTCCCAATGTCCTGGCCAACAGTCCCCCAGATAATATTGATAATTTATGTCATGTTGCTATGTCGTGTTATGCGGTGTGTTGCTGTGTGCAATTTGGCATTATGAAGGACTGCATGTATTATCCACAGAACCATAGAATTTTACAACAGGCTCAGATAAACTAACGATTAGTAGGTGAGGGCAAGCTTGTGTATTAAAAGCATGAGGTTTACAAAGGTCTAAAGTGTTTGAGGGATTTATTTTGTTGCTACATCCATCAAAAAAAACAAAGGGCTTTCATCACGCACCAACCACTAACACAAGGAATAAAAATAACCAATAATAATCCTTGTGTTTGATATAGCATCTTGTCATTTTGTCAAAATGCCTCAAAGCACTTCACAAATAAAATTGGTCATTCTTCTCACTTAGATGTAGTTAACACTGCAAACCAAAGTCCTTATGGGTATGGTGGTCCGAGCTAGGCAAGCAGTTTGCCAGTTTACCATTACCTTTAATGGCAATCTATCCAGTTTTAGCTGGTTAAATTCCCGCAGTTATTCCAACCTCAGTTATTCTGAGGTCCCCAAAGCTTGGATCTTCCTACTACCACTATTATTACTGCTGTGAGTGACTAGCATTGGGACGTTGCAACCTCCACAACAACTGATCAAGTGCAGCATCCCAGAACTGAATCAGCCCTGAAATATCGCATACAGGTACGTCTTGGACACCTTCGAGGCTGCCTCCACTTGTGGTCCTATCTTGAACCATGGTAAGTCGGATCGTTTTTCCATCCGGTGGACATGTCCAAAGAATAAGTGACTTCTCGCCGCTATGTTGCTGCACTCAGCCAGTATGAGACGATATGGCTTATTTGTAATATGGTTAAAGTAGCATATTCCGAGAATCCAGTGCTGGCATCCCATGTGGAACGCTTGAAGTGCATCTGAGTATCTCTTCAACCGTATCCATGTCGCCAAGCCATATAGCAGCACTGATATCATGCAGGCCCTGTAAATACACAGTTTTGTAGCTAGGGACAGACATTGTCACATATTGCTTTAATGACTTAATTGGCACTTGGACAATGAGAAGCCATCAAGTATAAAAGGATTCTGGGGAAGTGGCTGGGCAGATTCTGGAAGAGAATGGAAGTGTGAGGTTTTAATAAAGGAACAAGTGAATTGAAACTGTGTTTTGGATTTACAAACAGTATAGATGTCACTGTCTCCAGATCCTGTCAAGCTTGTGCATCACGGAGCTTGCTCTGCTGATGAATCTGCAATGTCTGGTCATCTGAGGAATTGATGTTGCATCCTAGGTAAATGAACCTCTGTACCAATTTGGCTGCTTTGCCAGACAACATTCTGGAAGCTGGCCCTTGTGCATTTTGTATTTGAGACATTTCAAGGTGTAGATGACAACATTTGTCGAACTCTCAGTCTGGTTTGGTTACTCTTGAGCATTATGATGGTTTTCCCCATGTGTATGTCATCAGGCTAATCCCCCCCAAATTTCCTTTATTATTTTAAACCTCAATCAGATCACCCCTTAACTTCAACACCTCTAGGGAAAAATCTTAGAGTTTAACCAAACTTGCACTATTGTGTTGAGCTTTCTGAGTCATCATGTCCTGAGATTGTACACTGCTGAAATGTCTCCAAGTTTTAATTTATAATAATAATCATCCTTCCATTTGATATAGTGCCTTATCATGTGTTCAAGATATTTCAAAGCACTTCACTGTACATTTGTATTTGCAAAACCTTATCTGACAGTGTTACAGAGCGTATATACTTTGTGTGGTAACAAGATTTGACAAAAATGTTCAGTTCTGTTTTCCTTTGTTTACTTGCGTGTCATACAAGATTTTATCATCAACATAGACAGTTCAAAAGTCTACACCTAAACAAATGTTATATTTTAAGAACAAATAAAATGTCTTTGAACTTACACTTTATACTGACAATCCAAAGTAGTGCTGGGGGAGTGCTGCTACATTTGAGGTGCTGTCCTTTGAATGAGGTGTTAAACTGAAGCACCATCTGCCTGTCTCATCCTCACCTACAAGACCATTCACGGCCTTGCTCCCTCCTACCTCTCCGACCTACTATCCCCCTACTTACCTGCCCGTACCCTCCGTTCCTCTGGCTCCGGTCTGTTCCACATCCCCCGCCCTAACCGCCCTACCATCGGTGGCCTGGCCTTCAGCCTCTCAGCCCCTAGGCTCTGGAACTCCATCCCCCAGTGTCTTCGCCTTGCTTCCTCCCTTTCCTCCTTCAAGGCCGGTCTCAAGACCTTTCTCTTCGACCGTGCCTTCAGCTTCCCTCTCGACTCTCTACCCCCTCCTCACTCTCTCCCTTCCCTCCCCTCACCCTGACCATTTCCCCCCTGCTCGGGTCCTGACCCAACTGTCCAGCGCCTTGGGACGTCCTCCCGACGTGAAAGGCACTCTATAAATGAAATCTTGTTGTTGTTGTTCAGGAGGAGTTTAAAGATCCCATGGCACTATTCAAAATTCACTATTCCCATCGGTCCTGGCCAACAATCCCCAAATAAAATTTTAGTCATCATTTTCCAAAGCTCTTTATATTTGGGAATTGTGCCCTTGGATTGGAGAATGGCAAATGTCACTCTATTATGGAGGGAGAGAGAGGGAAGGAGGGAGAAACCAGGTAACTGCAGACCTGTCAGCTTAACTTCAGTTGTAGTGAAGTTACTAGAATCTCTCCTCAGGGACAGAGTGACTGAGCACTTGGATAAGTATGAGCTAATCAAAGAGAGTTAGCATGGATTTGTGAAGGTTAGGTCATGTCTGACGAATCCAATTGAATTTTTTGAGAAGGTCACTAACATGGTGGATAAGAGAGCGTCTATGGATGTCGTCTACATGGACTTCCAAAAGGCATTTGATAAGGTCCCGCACAAGAGGTTATTAGCAA